TATTCTACATGAAATAAGGTGAAATAATTCTAATAGAATATATATTATAAATTTCTTAAATATTTACATAAAAATTATGACATGATAAAAATTACGTGAGAAATGACGAAATAAAAATTAATTAAATATTTTTAATTATAGTTGACACAACAACAACAATTAGTAAGAGTGGTCACGGCAGGCATGCAACTGCAGGGGATTGCGCCCACATTCTTTGCCGTACCCAATGGATTTCCTCCAGCTGCTTCTCCAGTGATAAGGCATACTCCATCTAGTCCTGCACCAAGTAAGTTTATTAATATAATGAAAATATTAATATAATGAAAATATTAAAAAATAAATTATCATGATATTACAATATTCAATTATTAATATTACAATAATCATTAATATTAATGTGAATATAAAATGACAATTAGATAAAACATGTTAAATACTTCTCTTTGTTTAAAAATATAAAAAATCTAGAGAACATAATATTTGAATTAAAAAACTCAAATTTTTATTTTATTTAATTTACATTAAATGTTTAGAAACGTATAGAAATATTTTGAATCATTTAAATTATATTTCAAATTAATTATATTTTTAATTATATTTCATATTTTTTTCTTGTGTCTTTAAATTTACAAAATATTAATTTATATTTATCGCAAGGTCAGTATTATTAAGTCATATATTTACATTCTATAGCTAATTCAGGAACTGGCAATTCCATCGTAATTCAGAATGCTATGGTACAAAGTCCTCAATCGCAAATCTCACAAGTTACATCTGGTAATACTACTGGCAATGCTTCGTGCACTCAACCTGTCGCGGAACAAAATCTGTTGCCGCCTCCTAAGAAAAAAGCGAAAAAGAAGAAGAAAGCTAAACGGAAAGATGATGAGCCAAAGTTAGATCTCGCTCGTATTATAAAGATATCAGGTATCGGGGATGACGATGATATCTTTGATTCCGAGCTGACAACTGAAAGTGAGGTTCCTTGTCAAATGCAGCAAAGCGAGGCTAATTCTGGACAACCTCTGAGCCAACTTTCATCTCAAGGAACAGTTCCTGTTAGCTCTGCTCAGAGTCTCCAAGTACCTGTAACAAATACAACGAATACGCAAGCTTCTGTATCGCAAACACTCAATAGTCAACTTGTCACCCAACTTCAGATGCCTGTACAAAATGCGATAGCCGGACAATTTCGATTATCAATTGGAGATGATGGGAAATTTATCTTACATCATACCCCGGAACCCAATCAACCTGAAATAGATTCAGCGACCGCGCAAGCTTTAATACGATCTCTGAGTCAAAATAGTGGTCAAAATTCACAGATTATCTCACAACTTTTGAGCCAAGCGCAAAGTACTCCGCAGTCTACTCAAAATACGATCCAGCGACAGAAATATGTCAAATCACCTTTATCCAGTGGAAATCAAGTTTCAACCAATACTATTAGCTCTACATGCTCGCAAAATGTCATTTGCACTACTAGTCCGCATCATGGCCAGATATGTTCGAAGCCAATTAATCAACAGAAGAATATTAATATTGTTCCTCAAGAAACTAATTCGCTACCAAGTATTTGCGTTCAAAGTAACATTGGATCTTTACAATCGCTAGAAACTCAAACATCAAAAAACGTTAATGTACAAAATCTGATACAAGCTAAGAATGTTCAATCTACACTGTCACAAACAGGTAATAACACCTCTCTGAATACTCCGGATATTTTATCCACAAAACCTACTATATTTGGCATTCAAAGTCCTCGAATGTCTAATGCAAGCCAAACGAGTTCCAATCAACAGAATATTTCTCTACAAAAATCTAGTCAAGTTCGGCTCACGAATGCTTGTATAACTACGAATGTACGACAAAATTTGGGAAAACAATCGATACAACAGTCACAACAACATAGCGTTCACGTGCAAAAATCATTACCCAGTAGTTCAATAGTACAAAATGATCATATGTCTAAGACTAATCAGAATCTTCAGACGAATCCACAAGAGACTCTAACATTGCAGCAGGAGTCACCCCTGTTTCAACATAATCAACAAATTACCGCGCAAACTGTACAAACTCAAAATGTGCAACAAATATTTGAACAAAATTTGCAGAGCTCAAACATTCATCAAAATTCTATGAACATATTGCAGCAACAGAGCTCTTGTAACACCATGCAACAACATGATACCATGAATGTTTTACATTCAAGTATCCAACAAAATACAATTAATGTATTGCAACAAAATACGGCTGGTAACGTTCAAAATATAGAACAAAATTTGCAATCAGGCATGAAGGATATAACTCACGCGCAACAGAACGTCATGACCAGTTTGCAACAACAGAATACATCTGCCGTTTTACATAACGCGAGTGTCCAACAAAATGTGAATGTTCAGCAACAGAAGGTAGTGACAGCAAATACTTTTTCTTCCGTTAATGCACATCACTTTGAATCGCAGAATTCGGCTAATGTCGTGCAACAAGGAATTAACACACAGCAAAATAATCAGAATCAGAATATATTGATCACGACTGCTCCTACTACTAATACAACCCAGCAGAACGAATCTCAAAAGATCGAATCCCAAGGTGCGAATATACTAAATTCAGCGGCGAACAACATACTGAATAACGCACCTAAAATTACGCCTGAAATTTTAAATGCGTTAAGCAACTTGAATCCTAACGATCAGCTGCTAATCGCAAATGCGAATGGCCAGATGCAGGTGATTAGTCAGCAACTCTTGCAACAATTTTTGGCTGGACAGTTAAACGCGACGAATCAAACGCAAAATCAAAATCAAACTCAGAAGATAGTAATCGGCGAGCCAGATGCGAATAATCAGAATTTGCAAGGTGTTCAGATTAACACTCCAACAAGCCAAATAATAGTAAATAGTTCTGGTGGAGCTCCAACGATCCAAAATAATATTCAAAACATAGTGGTACAGGCTGCACCTTCTCAGATGCCGCAACACATACAAATTCAAAATTCGAACTTTCCTAGTCAATTTATTGACAACCTGAATCAGCAACAAATTAGGAACTTGGGTAACAATCAACCAAAGAAGACAAAAATCGTGAAAAAGACGAAAGTTGCCGTCACTGCTCAAAGCATTGTAAACTCACAGGTACATAATTGCATTTTATTTCTACATTTTCTGTTATCTATTTTATCCATATTTTGCTCGATACTTCAATATCATTTTAAAAATTCTATTCTAAATTCTAAAAATTAAATTATTAAAATTGTAAAATCTGTATTTTGATTCTTAATGATATTTTCTATTTTTATTTTTTTAGACAAAGACAGTAACCGTCATGCGACCAACAATGGTTACGGCGAATACGTCCAATTTACAAAAAATTGACAATTCTAAAACAACCACGACTATATCCAGTACAAATCCTACTAAGAGCGAGCCGACTCACATTATCGCCAATGGCCCATTGATTTCATCTTCTACAGCCAGTCACATGTCAGTTCCCTCAAATGGTCAAATGATACAAAGAGTACAAACCATTCAGCTTCCTGCTCAAATGCAGCAAACGCTGAAAGGCATTCAGTCTCAAATCCAAGCTATTTTATCAAATTCTCGAAAATCGCCTCACGATCAGGCGACATTGGCGAAGTTATACCAGGAGCAAACAAAAATATTAGCCAGTGGAAAGGTTGTTAGCACTACTACTCATTCTGTCAATAACGTAAGTATATTCGATCAATAGCATAACTTAATTAGATAGCAAAATTCTATTTAACGAATTTGTATTTTAAAATTATTTTGTTCTTATATAGACCGCCGAGACAACGTTCAGTGTAAATGTAGTTTCAACAGTTGCGAATATACATTCACAAAATTCATTTAAGAACCAAACATCAGCGACGCAAACGCAGACACAAACTTCCACTGCTTCTATGCCGATAACATCTCAAACTCTAAGTCCGACCACATCTGTAGCAATGCCGAGTAGTTCGAATAACAGTTTCATTAATAATATCACGGTAAGCAAAGTGTTATCGTGTACACATACGCATGTTAACTTATAAAAATATATTTTCATATTTTATAGAAGCTATTATTAAGTGTTATAATGTTATATTTTAATCATTATTATAGGTACCGCAAAGTGTGCAAGCGCAACAACCGACTATATCGAATGCTGCGACACAGAGCATTCATCAGACGCACATTAAACAGCATAAGTTTTACCAAAACCACGGGACTCAGATACTGAATCCGTCCTCCGCGAACATACAAATCTTCTCACCGCCAATTACCTCCGTAGCAGCTTCGCAAGTACAGAGCAATGTACAACAATTGACCCAAGTTCAAACGCAGCAACAATCGGGCGTGCAGTGTCAACAACAATCAACGCAGTGTCAAACAGATCCATTGGACTTCAAGCCAGCTATACAGGCACCAAGTCCCGTGAAACAAGAGCTTTCCTCCCCTATTCAAGTTCAAGTTCAAAGTGGCTCTCCTGCGAATCAAGTAACCTCGCCTAGAATGATAAGTAAGGGGACGCAAAGGATTCAAAGTCCTGTAAACAACAACGGAAGTACAATAAAACAACTCGTCAGCCCTAATGGCAACTCTAATCCTTTGATAAGTCCGAGGCAAGGTGTGAAAAGGCGCGCGACTAGCCCGATTTGTAGGCAGATGAATCGTAGCGAATTGTATGTATCTAAGCATAAGTCTTTATTATATTTATGATTTTTTTAGATTTATTGATATAATTATATTCATTATCATTTACAGAGTGGAGCAACAGTTAAAAATCGATCAAAATGGTGCAACAAATCCAGATATGAATACGCCATTCTCAAGCAAACGCGATGCGTGCAAACGTCTGGTCAGATATCATTGTTTGAATGAGCAAGTATTAGGACCTAAGGATCTGACAAAAGCAGACGAAATATTCGAGGAGACAGCGAAACATTTATTGAGCAAATTCAGTTCTATGATAAACAAATACACGTATCTTCTCCTAATGGAAAGCATGGTATAAATAATTATTTAATTTACTTATCTAATGGTTATATAATTTGCAATAAATTAGATTCTTTTTTTTTTACAATAATTTTATATGTATTAAAGTAATTAAAACTAGTATTTATATTGTTAAATTCCTTTGAAAAATTAATTGATTTTTTATATTAATTTTTTTTATAAATTAATCTTATATAGATAATTTATATTATTGTTGCATTAATATCTTAAAAATTATAAATTATAGCGCGAAGTAAGGACGTCGGAATTGATGATGATCGACAGGACTATTGTAGCCGAAGAACAAAGTATTCTCAACAGGTTACGAGAACAAGAAGCAAAACTCAATGGTAACTACGCATATCTTCAATTATTTTTCGTTATAATTACAAATATAAATATGTATATATATTTATATTGGTTTTTTTCCTGGAATTTCAAGATTTCTGATTTTATTACATTTATCATATACTTTGCTCTTCACATTTTAAAATTCAGTATATTTTTATCAACACACTTAAAACAAATTTTTCTTTTTATTTTTAAATATAATATCTTATAAATCTCAAATAAAATTACAGAAGAGTTTAAGAAGGAAGAGAAACCGTTGGTGCCAAAAGTTGAACCTGGCCTTGTGGAAGAGAGCAAAGCAACATTAACAACATCCCCACCTTTAGTAAACGTATCTGTAAAACGCGAACTAGAGGATGATTTCCCAAGCGAAGAAATGGAATGCAAACCAGTGATCAAAACGACGAATAGTACCAGTGGCGATTACGACGAGTGGCTGGAAATCCAGAAAGAACTGGGTGTATATCCATCTACTACAGATACTTTAAAGTGTAAAAACGGCAATAACAGTGGTAATAGTGCATGTGCTGTTACGAGAGCATCAAAAATTGAAAGAACACGAGCAAATGGCGAGTGTCTTCGTACGAATGTTGCAAATACAAATGTACCCGGTGTCTCAAACACGACTATGAAAGATGATTGCGAGCAAGACATAAATACTTTCGATAGGCGTTGGAGTAGTGCCACTGATCTCGAACGAGATTTGTCGGAGGATACCGACTTGGATGGATTAGCTTTGCATTCGCAGACGCAATGTCCAAGTAGTACCGCCCTTGTAACGACTAGCGAAAGTGGAAACGTCGGTAACGAACATGATGAGATCAACGCACAAGTACAGTCCGCCATTGACAGCATCCTTAATCTTAAGAAACGTCCCACGAACACACTGTCAGGCAGTAGTAGCGGTAGTTCGTCATCGCAATCCGACACGAAAGACACTGCGCTGGACCAAGCAGTCCGCAGCATTTTAGGCTCGTGACCCTCCTTTAATAAAGTATGTTAAGAAGTGAAAGTTGATAGTTGAATCAAGCTAATCATACGTCTTGAAAATTTTAAAGGAAACTTAAAGTGATAGTAAGTCGATTTTTCATTGTGTTTTTGTGGATGTCACATTGAGATCTATTCATTTTATGAGAACTATATTTTAGTATTGATAACGCAACAGTCGGGAATGGACTGTTTTCAATACTGCATATCTTGAAGCACACGGATCGTTACTAAATTATTTGTATAAATCATACGTGACCTTATTATTTTATTTATACATTACACAGCAGAGGCAAACTGGATCACGCATACATGTTTTGCGGTACAATGTTTTTAATTTGTCAAAGATTCTGTTTTACAATGGCAATAATTATTCATAATATACAAACATGTATACTTTTCCAGTAGTCTAGCTGTAATAAAGCCACCGCGTAAATCTAATTCTAGCAGCTGTACATGTGAATAGACTAGATAGATAACTCGCTCAGATTTTTCAATATGGCACTTTGTAATGTAATTTTGTAAAAAGTAATTATTTAAAGCAACTTATTCCACTTTATCTGTAGTACTTGTAGAGGAATCTTATTGATACTTAAAAAAAATGGGTCGGTGAATATTGTACATACGTTTTTAAGGTGTATTATTAATATTATTATTACGATTATTATTTGTATTATTGTTATTGAGATTTATTCTCAGAATTATTATTATATTACCATCATTATGATTAACATCATCATCATTGAAATCGACGATGAATATATGGAAAGAGCAAAGAGAAAGTAATAGTGTAAGAGACTGATATGTAAAATCATGGAAAAACGCGGAATGTAATTTAATACAAGATACAGGCGGTTCGTTACTACCAATATGATGCTATGTGAAAAGAGATCATAAAGAGATCGTATGTCGAAATTTTTTTCGTAAGATTATATTTCTCAGAAATGATTCTTGATAAAAATTGTAGACATTTTCTTTATAAATTTACTTTTCTCAAATTGATTGTGCTATATCAGCGTAACAGATCGCCTTGTACATGGAAAAGAAAGAGAATACATAATGTTTATGCGTGTTATACTTTGGATTCATTTCTATTTCATATATAGTCTCAATGTTAAGACGCAAAATCAAAGAGACAAACTGTTTCTAAATAATGTATAGGATTTTATGACTTTCTTTTTTTAGCATCACATACAGATTCACAATACATATGTGAGTAATCGATGGATGCGTGTTGGAGAGTGCATGTGTGGAAAAAGGATAATCACATAATCGATAAAGCATTTGAGGATTTCTCTATAATTACCAAAATTGATCAACATACATTCCTATGTCAAAATGTATGGTTTTATTTTTAATTTTATTGTAACAAACGTACGCGCTATTTTACACGAATATTCGAACTAAAATTAAGGAACAATAGATATCTGGAATTCTTTTTCGGTTTTAACAAATTGATGCTTTTGTAAAACGCGATAATGATATCTCTGTCTAAGATGAAGTTTTATTATGTGAACTTGATCACGTATTCTTTTTCTACATATATCTAGAATGACTCTCTAGAGACAGCGAAAACAATGCGTTTTCTGGCAAAAGCAATCCAAGACTGACGTATATACAGAAAAAAAATCAAGCAAAACTATGTAATGTATTACAGTAAGGAATAATAATCGTTTGTACATACATAATGTTCAATTACACTCTCGACGGCAATCGTGACTTAATGAATTCTTCACAGATTTCAAAGTTTGGATATATTGAAATTCTTTTGATCCTAATAAATTGCCGATATTTCACGAATACACACACACACACACACACACACACACACATATATATATATATATTATATATATATATGTATATATATATATATATATATATATATATATATATATATATATATATATAGATCATCCTGTATCCCTGGTCTGTTAAGTTCGGATCACGCGTGATTTGCGATTATTGCATTATCGTTAACAACGAGATGTAACGCTGGCGAGAGTGAAGACACAATTGTGGTACAGTGATAATATATTATAAATATAATTTAAAGAAAAAACATTTTTATTTTTTACAGTCGTCTGTATACCCGATAAAAGAAAAAAAGAAAGGTATCATTACATTATTGTAACGTAATGCAATATCTATATGTGTCGCAGAATTATACAGTCTTGTATATAGTCTAATTTGACTTCTTTTACGATATTATGTCAAAATATTTTTAGATAAATACGGTAAATGAAACAAGATCCGATACAAGCATAATGTGTAAGATGATACGCGAGTAAGGTAATCAGATGATGTGAATCTTGTGCGCTCTGTATCTTGTAAAAAGAACGCGTTACGCTTAACAAAACGGGAATTGTATATTGCGACCTTTTCTCAAGCCGATAAAATTTCATAAATTATGTACTTAAATTATCATTTTATCCGTTCATAATTATCTATTTTTTTTTTCAATTTTATGTGATTAATTAGGATTGATCTTGGTTTAAAAAATAATAGAAATGTTCTAGAGAGGGTTAAGGATCAGAACCAATTAAAATTCACAAAAATCTAACTTTCTGCTGTTACAAGTACACGAAAAAAATCAGTGTCGAATATCGAAGCATTTCGTGAATTCATTTGTGCAAACATAGAGATGACAATTGGACATAACTGATCGACATAGTTAAACAACAGAACGAAAAAATTATAGTTATGTTTGTATTAATTTATTTATTATTACGTTTAAATATTTCGTGCAGATTTATACGAATACATTTATTTCACGTAATTCCTCGCGTTTTATTTCCCGGCCTAGATTGCTTCATCATGTTTCTTTACGAGATGAAAATTGTTTAATCTCTAAATAGCATCGCGTAAGTACAAAACATTTTTTTTTTTTAGCTGAATTTGCACTGTTCATCTTTCTTTTCACGTTGGTGAAAAAAAAAAGAGAAAACATGAATAGTGTAAAGAGTTCAGTCAAGAAAGAAAGACTCAAGAAAGAAGGGCTTTTTGTCGTAATGTTCGTGTACGTATTCGATGTCACGATAGGCAAAGCGATATATTTCAAAAATAATTATTCTTTAATAATTATTTTTTCGATGAATGATAATTTCTTGTAAATTTATAAAACATGTTATCAATAATATTAAATTATGCACCAATCAATAAATTAATATGAAATAATAACATGATTCAGCTTTGGCTGAAAATTGCGCGTTTTAAGATCGAAAACAATATAAAATTTGAAAAAAATTAGATTTCAAGAATTATTCTAAATTCTACATGAATGTAACAGTCCGCTTAACATCTCTTAGCAAAAAAGATTCAACTGCGTATCGTGAGTAGTGCTAAAAAGCAGCTTACAACTTTTATTTAATTTTAATTATGTTATATAACTCACAAAGACCATCTCTTCTTTCAATTTTAACCAAAAGTTCGAAAGTAAAGCAATTTTAAATTTCAACATAAAATGGCGATAACTCGAAAAGTAATGCATTTCCGAATCTATGTTCATATCAATTTTTTTTTTTTGTTTTTGGATCCCCAATCACCTCTCGAACGATTGATCTCTATTTTTGGAACATCCTGTATATTTTTCGCTTGCTCGGCACGAGAAAGAAGATGGAAAAAGAAAATGCGCGAGAACGTGGAAAAGACCGGAAGGAGACGCAAGCTGCACAGATCCGCGCAGATTCGCGTCAATCGCGTGAGTTCGCGACGTACGATCGTACGAGCTCCGGCGACACGCACATGTAAACAATTTCCGTGCCGATTTATTATTTGACGCTCGCCTCAAGAAAGAGAAAGACACCATGATCTCGGTCAAGAAGTCTGCAAGGAGCGAGGCAGAAGCCGCCGTGGTGACCGACGCTCAAAGCGATCCGTATGATGTGGAGAAATGTGCTCGATGGATTCGGATAAATGCCTTAAAACAGGTTCGAAAAAAAGCGCATATTTCTCGATAATGCTCACTCAGATACCTTATAGTTCCTTATAGATTCTTCCGAGATTTTTATCTCTTCTCCATCCCATTTTTTTCTCGTGAATTGAGATATGAGAAAAATTGAGGTTATTTGTCAATCCATTTGTCAAAATTTGCTTCCTTTTGTAGATAATATATACGATATGCACGACTTATTGTGTAAGCGACACTTAAATTTCGAATAAATGATTGCGATTTATGAAAGCGATGGAATAATAATAAGAATAACAATGATATTTATGCTGGAGTTGTTTATAGATAAGATTAGGTTAAGTTAGATTAATTTTAATTTTCTGTTTTATCATAATATAGATTATCTTGGATTTTGATTTAATTTACTCTTTATTTTCTAATTCTTAGAACTGAGGAAAGATAGAATAAAATTAAATCAAAATTATAATTAATCTACATTGATGAAAATGGGCACGAATCTATTGCAATGGGTATTTAATATGAATAATTACATTCTTGATTATATATAGTTAAAGCTTTTATTAATTATTATGCATAATTACATGAATAATCTGTTATCAAGCGGATATTCATTTGGATCTTTCTCTCTCTTATGCATTATAGGTGTGCCTACAATTTCCAGACAGCTTGTTGCCAGATTCAGTGGAAGTCGCATTACGTTTAGAAAAAAGTATAGGTCAGAAGTTGTATATCTTAGGCGATACTACCTGCGGTAGCTGCTGCGTCGACGAGATAGCAGCACAACATGTTAATGCAGATGGCATAATACATTTTGGACATGCTTGCCTTAATCCTACCGCTCGTTTGCCGATTTTTCACGTTTTGCCAAGAAAGCAATTGGACACGATTGAATTCAGTAATGAGTTTGAACGAGTCTTCTCAGATCGTACAAAGAAAATTATATTTTTCTACGATGTGGCATACGCACATAAGATTGGTAAACGATTATACTATTATTAAATACTATTAGAATGTAAAGAGATCTGGTCATGTGATAAAGCTGGAGACATAATGCATATTGTATGATTGCAGAACATGTGTATGATATATTGAAACCTATGTATAAACATTTAATATTATCTAAATTAAATTGTACATCGAACGTGGAATATACTGATATCAAAACAAGCTCGGCCTCAGTTATCTTAGGTAGAAATTATACTTTAGAGAACGGGTATAATGTGCAAGATTACGAAGGTTTCTTTTTGGGAGAAGAAGGAAAAACCCTTGCATTATTAGCAATGAGTATACCTGTGAAAAGGTGGTGCTATCTTGCAAATAATAAAATTCATGAATTTGAAGCATTGAATACACCTTGGTTGAAACGAAGAAGATTCTTAATAGAAAAGCTGAGAGATGCCAAAATTGTGGGAATTGTGGTGGCTACGTTAGGTATCACAGAATATCTGACGGCTATAAACACAGTGAAAAAAGCCCTCCGGCAAAAAAATAAGAAATCTTATCTTCTCAATGTAGGGAAAATAAATCCTGCTAAGCTTGCAAATTTCCCGGAGGTATGTCCAGTATAATGTAACAAAACATATTTGAATTTAATTTCATTGTGTTACATGGCTGCGTTCAGCAGAGAAAGCAGTGAGCGCTCAATGATTTTTCAATATGATTGGTCCTTGCCTTTAGATCTTCATTGAATGTAAGTGTAGAAACCAATCATAATAAAGAATCACTGAACACTCATCTGCTTTCTCTGCTGAACGCAGCCATTATTAGTAATGATCAATATTCGATTTTTATTTCAGATTGATGCTTTCGTTGTGATAGCTTGTCCAGAAAATGAAGTATTCGATTCGAGGGATTTTTTCAAGCCTATACTTACACCATACGAAGTTGAATTAGCATTTAATAGCGCGAGGGAATTTTGTTCACAATATTTTATGGACTTCCGACAAATATTGCCTGGTGGTTCTCATTATGTTAATTTTAAGCCATCAATGGATTCGGATGTTTCTCTCGTTTCTAGTAGTGTTAGAAATTGTGAGGATGATGCTTTATGTACCGATCAAATGAATGCTTTGACAGTTCGTTCATCAGGTATATATATCCAATTTATTTAAATTAAAATAAATTTCAAGAAACTAATAAGACATTAAAAACTCTATAACATTAAAAAATGTATTTTCAGTAAAAAATTATTTCATGTTTTTTGACGTGCATTTCTATAATTTTTCTTAGAATTATGTTGGTTAAACAATTTCTTCATATTCTAAGCATTAAATTTTTCTTTAACGTTTCTTATAATTGCACTGCAACAATGTTCAACATAGCAATTCTTTTACTAGGTACTGTTGCCATTGGTAAGGCTGGAGCTCAATATCTACAAGAAAGATCTTGGAAAGGTGTCGAACAAAGATTAGGTGAAGATTCTGTACAACCAGCAGAAGCTGGTCGCACTGGATTGGCATGGGAATATACTAATGAAACTTTAAGCATAGATAAAAACAACATACAAACAGAATAAATATAATTTTTAGATGCGGAGTATTTTCATTTCTCTTTTTTCCTTAAGTTTTTTTTTTCCTAAAAGTTTAAATCGCGGAAACTTCTAAATTTTCTCAAAAAATTAAATATCAAGAGTAATAAGTGATCAAGAATATATAAAAAGTCACAAATCAGAAATTTCTAAGAATTTCTAGAATTTTTAAGTCAGGCACAATTAATGTGAATAAGAAGTTGAGCACAAATAAAAAATTCGAATATTCTGAAAAAATTCACAGCTATTTGTTACTAACATTTCTTTCGTTTTAAATTTATAAATGAAGTGTAACGATAAAAATAACAGAATGAAGATAAAAAATGATTGCATTTCAATAAATGTTTCTCGAAAGCAATATTTTTCGGAATACAAAATATAAGTGAATATAACTTATATATTTCTTATATATTCCTTTTAATAAAAGATTATTATTAATAATTTCAAAAATTATTTTGTATATAAGAATTCATATAAAAATCGTTATAATAATAATAATAATAATCTAGGGAATTTTTTTACATTTGTAAAGACTGACATCTGAGTCAGCTGTTGAGAGATCTTGAACATTCTAATCCACTAGTCAAACGTCAGAATTCTCGTGATTTTACCAAGCTCTAGGAAAACATTGGTATCTCGTAAAAAGAAGAAAAGAAAAGAAGCTGCAAAACCGTCTTCTGCTACCTACGATATAATGCTACAACATTAAGAGATGACAACGTTTCAAGCGCAACATTTAACACCGTCATGCAGGTGGAGCCTGGTCGTCGGAATCTTGTTGCTATGTCATACGTCGTGGTATGTCTCGCACGGTGTAGAGATAATTAACCTGAAAGCGAGCGAACTCGTCACCGACAACAAGACCACGTCCACGTCCACGGTCACTCCGCACGCTCTGAACGGTTCGAATGTCACGGCGAATGTGTCAATCCTGTTACCCAGCACGGCACAGCCCGTCGTGCAGGTCGACGATACGAGTCACGCTGTCAGTCGCAATGCAACCAGCTCGACCACCGTGAAACCATCAACAGCTCCACCAGCGAGCACGGCACAGCCACCGGATGGTAACGCGAGCCATCAGACAACCGAGAAAAACAGCGCGATATCACCGAATCCTGACAGGAACACGACGGACATTTCTGTGCCGTCGCAGAGTCCGGATGCTACCAACGCGACCAACACCACGACAACTACTGTCGCTCCAGCGGAGCCCGTCCTCCCCGACAAGGGCTCCGCCGAGGAAGAGCACAACAGCTCGATGTCCATATTCTTCGTGTTGTGCGTCCTAGCGCTGGGCATTCTGCTGATACACTTGATGTTACAAACCAATTTCCAGTATCTGCCGGAATCAGTGGTGATCGTCTTCCTAGGCGCCGCGATCGGCATGATCATAAACCTCATGTCGCATCAGAACATAGCGAACTGGCGAAAGGAGGAGGCTTTCTCGCCAACCGCGTTTTTCTTGGTCTTGCTACCGCCTATCATCTTTGAATCAGGGTACAATCTACATAAAGGAAACTTTTTCCAGAACATCGGCAGTATCATGGTGTTCGCCATTTTCGGCACGGCCATCTCCGCGTTCGTCATCGGAGCCGGCATATATCTCTTGGGTCTAGCGCAGGTAGCATACAAGCTTAGCTTCGTCGAAAGCTTCGCCTTTGGTTCGCTGATATCGGCGGTGGACCCGGTCGCCACGGTCGCGATCTTTCACGCTCTGGACGTCGATCCGGTTCTGAACATGTTAGTTTTTGGAGAGTCGATTTTGAACGATGCTATCTCCATTGTCCTGACCACTTCTGTACTGGAGTCCAACAACGCGGCAACGACCAGCGAGGCGATCATACTCGGCTTGAATCGATTCTGCCTCATGTTTTTCGCGTCGGCCGGGATCGGCGTGGTCTTCGCTTTAATAAGCGCGTTATTGCTGAAACATGTGGATCTTAGGAAGAATCCGTCTTTAGAGTTTGGCATAATGTTGGTGTTCACATACGCTCCATATGTTTTAGCAGAAGGCATACAACTGTCTGGTAAACGTTTAATTATATGATGAATTTTTTTATCAATTGTTATTGTTTATTTAACTTACATGAATTTGTTGTTGCAGGAATTATGGCAATTTTATTCAATGGAATAGTCATGTCGCACTACACGCATTTTAACTTGTCAACTGTTACACAAATTACAATGCAGCAGACAATGCGAACGCTAGCCTTCATTGCTGAAACTTGTGTTTTTGCATACCTAGGATTAGCATTGTTCAGCTTTAGACATAGAGTAAGGATATTATTTATATATATATATATATATATTTATATGATCAGTACAATTCTTAAATATTTTTTATCAAGCCTTTCTTTCTTTTTGATAGTTTGAACCAGCATTGGTCGTTTGGTCCCTGATTCTGTGTCTGATTGGAAGAGCCGCCAATATCTTTCCATTGGCTTTGCTCGTTAATCGTTTTCGCGAGCATCAGATCACGAGGAAGATGATGTTCATCATGTGGTTCAGCGGCTTGCGCGGCGCTATATCATACGCACTGTCGCTTCATTTAGATTTCAGCGACGAGACACGCCACGTTATTATAACGACGACGCTTATCATCGTATTATTTACGACTTTAATATTCGGTGGGTCCACTATGCCTCTGTTGAAGTTCTTAAGAGCCGAAAAGAAACAAAAGAGCAACAGCAGAAGAAAGAAGAAAGACAAGGAAGTTACATTGAGCAAAACGAGAGAATGGGTAATTGGACAAATTTTGCGTCGCATTTAATTAGAAATCTTTACATATATATTGATGACATATAATACTTTTTTTTTGTTTAACAGGGACAAACTATAGATTCCGAGCACTTGTCGGAACTCACGGAGGAGGAAATGGAAGTATCTTTTTTGCAATCACGGATACGTGGTTTCGCAAGATGGGATCTGAAATTTTTCATCCCGTTTTTCACAAGGCGATTTACGCAGCAGGAGTTGAAGGATTGCAAATCGCAAATGACAGATTTGACGAATCAATGGTACCAAGCTATTAGAATCAGTCCGATAGAATCGGACGATGAAGCGACCACGGCGTCAACCGCACAATTAAATCTGAATGTCACTGGTACAGCTAAGGAGCAATCGCATGGGAAGGAGAAGAACGGACGTCCTAGACACGGGTCTATATTAAGTATTTAATTTTGTGTGTGCGTGTGTGCACGTGACGTCCTTCAGTGTGCTGAACTATGTGCTTTTAAATTATATTGCCTGTAAATGGGTGTACATATAAATATTTATTAATACTTAATTTAGTATTAAATATCTATAACAACATATAGATCTCTTAAAAAATGAGAATTATTTTCAAGCTGCAAACAAATATCTTGTCCCAATGAACTAAGGGTGAGTTTTCACAATTTTCTCTATTTAAAATTATTACAAAATTTTTCTCTAACTTAAAATTTGCTTATTGCTTAACATTTACTTGTATATGTTTTACTAATGCACTTCATTGATATACACAAATATCTGGAATATGGAATCTTATTTCATATAATTCTCTAATTATTTTCATAATTTATGGATAATTATAAGAAGAGGGAACATGGATAAGAAAGAAGTGATAAATAGTTTGCACAGCAAATTCTACAGCTACAACATGAGTGAAATTTTTTTAAGATGTTAATAATTGTCTCTTATATATTATATTTTCATAATTTATTTCTTTTGCCTAATATTTACATGTATCTATATCATTATAAGCATCGTTTTACATTATTGCTTATATAATAAATAGTGTATTGTTCAATATGCTTGCTTTCTTCAAAGCGGCTTGACAACGGTGATGGGTAGTAAATTGATTTCAGCAAGATCTTAAAATATTAACAAAAATACTGTTAATTTACAGAGCTGAGGAGGATTGGTCTGATTAAAATTCAACTTGTTGCCACAAGTATATTTTCTAGAGCTCCCGTGGGTTGTATTAATCTCTTGTTCCATATGTAATTTTTAATCGTGCGATATTTGTTGAATTGATGAAGATCATTTATACGATCTGATACTTTCGTTAGTATTATCGTTAGTATTTGTACAAATAACAGATTTCTATTTGTGTTAATCTCGTTACGCATAGTTACGCATAATTAAAATTATTCTAAAATTAAATGAAAGTAAAATTGATAATCGAGAGAAACAACGAAATATGTCACAATTATGTATATGACGATAGTATAATATTATATTTAGTATTATTTTGTTTAGTTATATAATCGTGATAATTATTTTAATAATAAGTTAATTGAACAAAATTGATAAATTAGCGAGTTAGTAAGGTATGGTTCAAATAATTTATAATATCCCGTATAGTTACCGTATATTATCTCTTTCAGAATTGTTTCTGTAAAGTATATCATTAAAATATATAATATTGTTTTGATCTGCATTATTATAATATTTATATGAATATTTCAATGATGAAATTTGAGAAATTGAATAGATTTGTTTCTTATATATATATATATATATATATAAGTTTTTGTATACTATATATCATACGTGAATAATTACACACGTTTTGTATCATATCATTTGTGGGAGGAGCTATGATATCTTGCTTCCTTGAGGCCGAGCGTTAACCCACACAGTGTACACATTTCCTAGCCAGGAATCAACTGGCGGAAGATATGCGAGTACGTCCTATGTTCTATTGTAATGAAAGTCGATTGAAACATAAATGATATATTGTATTCGGCAGGTAATATAGATTTATCCTGTAACTGACGGTATGTACAACAAAGAGGTGGCTAAAGTTGCGGAACGAATTCTGTATTCTCACTCTTCGTCCAGTATTTGAAATATATATTTAGAAAAATGTGAACATATTGTACATTACACTTTGTACGATTATAGCAACATCCAGAGACAATAAAGGTGATATAATTTGTGATATACTATATATAAATAAACTGATTCATAATTGTGAAATGATTTCAGGCTACTACTTTTTTACCTTCATTGATGGATCATAAGTGAAAAAAGAAAACCATTTATTTTGTTGCGAATTTATTTTTCATATTATATATCGATCTCTCTCAGGGGATGGATACATGGTTGTCTGTTTTTTTTTATTCTTTGCGGCAGGGCACATAACGGAGGCAGCGTCTAAACATCAAATCCATTTATTCGTTCGATTCGTTATGGCTATTTTATTATGCTCTAGAGTTCTTAATGCTTCGCATGGTCATTACATCGAGTGACTGGAGCATGAGACATTAGTATACGATAAATTAGCGATTATTATATTCGGTATCTCTTTCTTTTTTTCTTTGAGCCTTCTTTTCCGCAAGCGTCATAGTTCGCTAATCCGGAGGGATATCTCTGAAGGAACAAATACGCGATTCTGATTGTACGATACGCTCGGACGAACATCGTTTAACACATCTTCGAACATTCATCGGTGCAAAGAGAAACATATTAGAAAGGATCAGCAGTGATCTATAGGAATTCTCTACGCAAAATGCGACGAAAATTATGCCATTATTAGGAAGGACACGATTTTACGAATAAGACGAAAGCGAATAAGGCCTAGAAATCTTAATCTCATTAATCTTCGTCAATTTTGAGAATCGGATTATAATCATGTAATCAAGATTTCGAAATCAATTCGTTTATTATTTGCAGAAGACCCAACAACGCCTTCTTATTCCTTCGCATCTCGCAGACGCGGCTCGTGCGACGCGATCAGGCGGATTAATCGGTCAATCAAGCGGACATCATTTCTCCCCGAGTCCTCTCGCGAGGAGGATTCGATCGCCCAGCCGGTACCAGTGACAAAGGACATATTTTTATCTCGCGCTAATCTGGGATATTGTCTAGGAGAGGAGCGCGACGACAACACGCCGTCCCTGGCTTTTTCCCTGTCCCGATGCTCCAGTCGTTTCTCTCGCAACGCATCTGTCCGGGTTCGGTTCGCTGTAACTTGCATGTCCCGTTTGTCGGCTCGATGAACTTCTAAAGATGATCGTCACGTATCGCGGGCGCCTACACGTGCCGCTATCGATAGTTTTACACTCTTATTAAAACGTCCGTCGCGCGGCGGGCCCTCACCGGACCTGCCGCAGCGAGCGCAAATTGGCTAAGCATGCAGAGTTTAAATAGCTCTCTATAACGCTACGAGACCAGTATGACTATGTACCAATCAGTGAGACAATAATAATATTATCGCATGCCGACTTTACGTCTCCCTTTCTCTCCTTCACGCGCGCACACAACCCAATATCTCCCCGGCCCTATCATGCTGATATATATAATCGCTGTACATTTTACGTCACGACCCGTTTCTTTTCTTTCTTTCTCTTTTTTTTTGCAGAAGGGTCCTCACCAACGCCTCCGCGTTTCAATCGCCGTGGATCGCCTGACGCGCGAACGCTCTTCTAAAAAATGTGCAAAACCTCGCGCTGGGTTTACTCGCAATATTTACAGTATCTCGTGTCGTCG